CCCGCAAAGTGAACATCTTCCCAGTGGATTTATCGTACGTACGCACACCGTTTGTCCATAAATCCTTGAGCTCATCAACCAACGGCCTTAAGTACACATCGATTGACCTGCCAGGATCCTCAGCTATCGAAACAGTCATCATCATGTACTCTTTTTTCATGCATTTCCAAGGCGGAAAATTATATGGGAATACGAAAATCGGCCAAGTGCTGTGGTGTTGGTTTAGAAACCCCGTACGGATTGAATCCGTCAGTGGCAAGTCCCAACCTAACATTTCGGGGATCAGCAGCAAACTCGGGGAACGTTCGATCGAACTCTTTCCATGCCTCCCCATCTGCAGGATGCCGCATGACATCGTCGTCTACCCGTTTTTCCTTATGCCATCTCATGTCTGTGGCGGTATGCGTCGACATATTCAATCGCTGCAATCTTGGCTTCAGGGGCAAATAATGCATGACTTTTTGTGGAACCTTAGTCATTCTATTCTGAGACGTCTATTTGAACCTCGACTCATTGCATATTGGGCATGTATCCAATGTTTCATACTCTTTGTAGAATAACATGCAATTGTTTTTACAAGCGTGGATTTTTTCATAACCCAATCCAAGACCACTCAACATCTTTTGTGCCTGTCTGTGGTCTTTCGGCAAACAATTGTCCGTCGGAAGCATTCTCTTGAAAACCCCCAAAAAGTAATCGAAACACAGGTTCGACATACGATACTTTATTTTTCCGTGCATTAGCTCCACAATCGCCGTCAATACGGAAAAGCTCTCGCACCCCGGATATAACTCTTGGTTGGCATTTCTTAACAGTTCTTCATACTGTTCAAACTCTGCACTATCCATTGGTGTAGGCACGTCATCTTCCCTTTCCTGATTGCTGCTGGTTAATGCAAATGGAAAAGCATCATGTATAATATCCATGACTTGTTCATTAGGATCCACAATAGGTTCAACATTGTCCACTTTTGTGGCCCTTGAAGACGAACCAATGTCTAATTGTTCCCCGTGATGGTTCCACCTGCTGTATGTCTCAATCATTTCATTCCTTACTAAATGAAATTGAACATTTTCAATTGTATCCCACAACATGTTGTTACACCTCCTACAAGGACATCTGATTCTAGTTGCACCGGGTTGTGTGACCGTGCAAAGTGAATAAATTCCTCGATTCCATCCAAGTATTCGTCTGCGCACCTGTTAGGATTCTGTATCCACCTTCTGCTCATAATTCCTGGAACCACAATCACAATACAACAATTATGTTGTATTCTTAGAAAATCATAACGTCACTTTATGCCTCCGGTAAGGGCCCTATCCCATTCGGAAATGCATAGTCATGCCACGTAATTTACAGCTACATGAGATTAGATTTCGACGTGGATGAATTTCGGCAGCATCTCGGTACAGTTCTTGAGGTGTACCGTAGATATCAAATACCTACGTACCACCCGAATAACGTACCGAGATGACACCGAAATCTCCACAATCGAAACCTAATCATGTAGCTGTAAATTACGTGACACGACTATACATTTCCAAACAGTCCAAAATATGGGACAATTCAAGAATTAATTGGACCGTAGTCATGGTTTACCCACCCATGCGCGGTCCAACTAACCTCGAACGGGAACTAAGCTTTACAACAAAAAATGTACGAAGTTAATTTCAATTAACTTCGTACATTACCATTCATAATTTAACAACAGAATACAAATATAATTTCACAAAAACAATATACAAAGAAATTAAATTGATATTTTAAATAAATATAAAACAAATAAAATACCTTCTTCAATATGTCCTGAACTGATTTGCAGCTGAGAAAATGGAGAGAACGGAGAGAGAGAGGGGCAGAAGCAGAGGCAAAACTGATTTTTCAGTTTGCCTCTGCAATGGCTGAAATGAATCTGTTAAAGAAGACGGCTTTGGGCGACGAAGGCTTAATTCGTCGCGCGAATAAATTAGTCGCGCAAAAGACAAATTCCGTCTCGCAAATTCCACTTCAACGACGCGCAAAGACGTGCCGACATCACATCATTGCACGACGAACACATTTTTTCGTCGCAACGGACAAAATCCGTCGCGCAAAATCGACTATCGCGGTGCGCAAAGACGTGCCGACACCACACCTTTGCGAAACGAACAAAGCGTTTCGTCGCAAGAGAATGTTAGTCGCGCAAAAGCGAATTTCCATCGCGTAAAAGCCCAGTTTGACACGCACGCATCCACGATAGCCACCTTGCGCGACTAATACACCATTTCGTCGCGCAAACTTGTGGCGCGAAACATCTGGAACACTGTTTGTTTTCCCGCTATTTATTTTGGGCGACGATGATTGTTTACGTCGCGCAAACACATTTCGCGCGACGAATATATTGTCGCGCAAGTTTTGCCTCCAAATGCGATTTTCCCGGGTTTTTTTTCCGCATCTTTGCGCGACCGTAAAACTGTTTGTCGCGCAAAGTGTACTTTGCGCGACAAATATTTTAGTCGCGATCGTAAAAAATTATAAAATTATTATCCATGGAAGTTTGTGCGACGTATTGATTTTTTCGTCGCGCTAAACATCATAGTGCGACGAATATGTCTTCGTCGCGCAAACTAAAAAATGTAGTAGTGGAGCCACATAATTCAAGAAAAACTTAGTTAAATGTGGGTAACACTATTTTCCTATTCCCAGCCTGTAATGCGATGACACGTGGAAGTGTTATCATACGTGTCATTGTGTCAAAACGTTATTGACCGAGGATAACGAAATAGTGCTTTCCCCGTTTCAAGGCTAGAAGTGGTTGTGGCCACCAATTTTCAGAAACTCCTTTACGCTTTATATAAAACTTGACCATTTGTGTGCAATTTATAAATAAAAAATGTCAGCTATTGCCGCCCCTTCAATATATAGGCTTTAACTCTGCCATTGCTTCTTCAGTACTCACGTTCTCAAGTAATCCTTTCGCTACCCCGTCAATTTTCTTATACCAGAGATTGTGGTTTATAACTGAATATAAATTAAATCGGAACACTAAATGGCATAGGGTCTTTAATTCGCATATATAATATTATGAAAGTACAGAAGATACAAGTAAAAATTGTACATTATATATATCCGATACTTGACGAGAATGTCTCACTGCGAAATATCATGAATTCAGAATCGGAACAAGACAATGTATAGGAGCAACAAAGCTCTTATTCACGGAAACAAGAGGACTCTAATGAATATGCATATATGTGTAAGCTGTAGCTTCAGTTATGCTTGACCCGCAGGTGATGTAAGCAAGGTTTCGTGAGGGCAGCAGGGCTTGCTTGAAGCTCCATGAATTTCTCGTATGTCATCCCAATGTATTTTGGGGCTTGGCCTTCTCTCTCTAACAACTCTGGAATTGGTAAAGCTGGTGTGTCCAGTGAGGGTCCATGGGGCACAGCTATTGATATCCTTGTAGCTTTGTTGTTCACAACAGCCCTATGCCATATGCTCTTGTACTTGTCGTTTGTCAAAATCTGCCACAAAAAAAATTAACCATACACATAAATCGTCGGTACTTAATTTATGAAAATAAGTAGAGAATTATTAGATTGTAATTCTTAGATAAGATGGGTTTTAGATTTAAAAAAAGTTGGGTGTTATTTTGGTACCTGCATTTGGTCACCAATGTTAACAATAAAAGCTCCCGGAGCAGCATTCACCAACACCCATTGGTCTTTGTGCTTGACTTCAAGGCCACCCATCTCATTCTGAATGAGGAGGGTCACCAGTCCATGATCAGTATGAGGAGGTAGACCGATTGCTTTATCGGGCTGTGGGCACGCCGGGTAGTAATTCCCGGCCAGAATTTGTAAGCCACGGTCCCAGTTCATGGCCTTTGTTATGTAGTCCGCCTCCAACCCTAAGCTCTCTGATATTCCCTTCAATATTTCTGTGGCTACTTCTCGGGTTCGTTTGCTGAACTCCAGTGAAACCTCGCTGTATCCAGCAGGTTTGTAGAGTGAGTTGAACTCAGGGTGGGCTATGACCTTGAGGAAATCCCTCCAGAGATGAACTTTTTCAATGTTGGCGTTGAAGCTGGTGCCGCACTTGATTGGATCCAACAGGTTCCTTGTTTGGAACTCCTTCTTCTCCTCCTCCGGCAGATCAAAGAATCTATGACACGCGTCTATCATTGATTGCATCAGGCTCTCTGGTACACCGTGGTTGGTCACCTAATAATTCCCATATATATAATTTATGCTTAATTAGCTTTCATCATGAGAGTTGTAGATACGCATATGTGATGTATATGTAGTACGTAGGTAGGTATGAAAATGTTCTCTTGTCCAACTTTCACAGTTTGACAAATACTGTGTTGATATAAGTATATATTTGTATAAGTCTGACAACAAACATTACTATAAATATACCTGGAAGAAGCCCCATTCCTCGCAAGCTCTGCGCAGCTCTTGGATCACTTTTGCTCGTTGATCAGGAGATCCCGACGTGAGAAGGGCAAAATCAATGATGGGGATTGAGTGCTCTGGGTCGTTTGCATCGCCTTGTTCATTAGGATTTTTGGTATAGGTGTACTCAGAAGGTACAAAAGTGAGGGAAGCTGAGTCAGCTAGTATTTTGATGCTTGCCACTTTTGGTACTTCATGGCCATTAGATGCCTCCATTGAAGTAACTGTAGGTGCCATTGAGAGAGAGAGAGAGTGAGAGTGAGAGAGAGAGAGAGAGAGAGAGAGAGGTGGGACTGAGCCTTTGAGAGTGATATTTCTGTATATTTTTTAGTGAGAGAGAGAAGGTGTTGGGCAGTTGTGGAGGTATTGAGAGAAAAGTAATGGGTATTTATAGCACAGGATGTACTGATTTTACACATGGAGGATTTCTACATGGCGGCTGTTATTTTAATGTTGCCCAACATCACAAGTTCTAAAAATTTTACAGAAATAAGTTGGCTAACGCTGACCAAGTTCCAAAATCTTGTCAAGGCAGAATAAAATATATATATTTTGTAGTTAAACTTGTATGTTCAGATGAATCAATAAATCTACTGGTGAGTGCTTTTACCGGCAGCAGATGCTTCTGCAACGCGTTTTTATGTTTTTATTTTTATTTTTTTGGTTTTTTGAAATGAGAAAGTGTCGGTATTTTTAGGTAGAATGGTCAAAGTAAATTTTAACATAGGACAATAACGCGTATATCAAAGGAAACGTTTTTGTTTATATTTCAAATTGGACATTTTTGTCGTACGATTGTTGAGTAGTTGCGTGTTGGATTTAATCGGATATCTACCTTTAAGAGTGTAAAAGATTTTTTGTTTTCTACACCTGTTGCTAATTCATTTTGGGTGGTAGGTTCACATTCTTCATGTGACAGTTCATGTGCCACATCCAACTACAACACATGCTCTCACGTCATTTAATAATAACTTTCGATACATTAGGGGTAGATTAAGCGCAAGACCTTAAAATATTTGCCTTTTCACGTTTCTAATTAATTTGATATTGAATGCTCACATTCTAATATATTAAAAATTGAATCCAGAATTAATATAATTGAACCAAGAAAAAGGAAGTGACGAGATTGATGTTGGAGAGATGAGAGAAAATTTGAGGGAACATATATAAAATAAATAATTTAGACTGTAATTCTTTTTTTGAGAAGAAGATCAATTCCATTAATATCTTATTAACATTATAGAAGAACCTGCATGACAACAATGGCCTCATTAAAACCTTATCAAGAAACCCCAAGCAAGAAAAAAGTACCACACATGCAACAGACTAACAAAAGAGTCCAAACAAAACCAGAATCACATAACAGAACCCTCTAAAACAAATCCAAATAAATATTTTTATTTATGAACGGTATGCTTGAACTTGATCAGAAAATTACAAAATGTACATAATGGCGTTCACTTTAGATTTTGACTATTGCACCAGCCAGTACAAGTGCCCAAACCGTGACATCATGTGAACCAATTCTAACCACAAAATGGTGACCCTTCTTTTCAACTTCTAAATCTCAAGCGATTTGAGCTGTCCTCCTGTCACCTGTGTTTGTGAGTTGACAAGAACATGAATATAAGTCAATCAAACAGCCCCATTTATTGGACTTATAAGACGAGAAAACTAAAAGGGGTTGTTCATATGGGGGTGTACTAAGTGGTAAATTAATAAATAAATATCGAACTCTTGTGGGAAAGAATGTTCGGTCCTTGAAATTTAGATACTCTTATAACGTTTCTTATAGGTTAAATTGTCTCGAGGGAGCAAAATTTTAGAAAATACCTATCTGAAATTGACAAATTATCATATTATTATTGGGATGACTTTCTTTACAGTCTGTGTCTTTTGTACTCTTTATTATTGTTATATTTTCTTTCTTTCTATTATCAAAAGAAAAGGATGTGCTAATTAAATCATGTGTTTGCGTTTAAGAAAAGTAGTTGAATTGCCGTCTTGAGAAAGAATTCCCGGATTGGAAACTATCTTCACCCGCAATTAATTTAAGCCAAACAATTAATTTAAAAAGAAGAAAAAGAAAGCTTGTTAAAAGCCCTTTTGTTTTATTGCCCTTTATCATTTTTTAAGCAGCCTATCAGAGCTTGTTAAAGCCCACGACGTCATTTTGGCCAGGATGTTTTAAAAAAAAACACACTGAGCAAAGAAACAGCCCAACGCCTTCAAGCCTTGGTTGAGGCAATTCGTTGAACACATGGAGTGTACCATGAAACCTTAGCAAAGGGGCAATATGCAGTGTGTGAAGAGGCTTTTTCGGCGAGAGGAGATACAAAATTGCACCTCCTTGAGCCTTAATAGGTCTGTCAGTGTCGACAGTTACCAAAGAGAAACACAACTAAAAGATATTCACTAAAAAATGACACTGAATGTATACATGGCAACCAAATAAATAAATATAAAAAACCATTCCACCGAAAGATAAATTGTTAAATATCTTTTTAGTCATTGCAATTTAATTTGGAATATATTTTTGTTACTATGTTTTGAGTTTAGCCTTTTTTTTGGTCAATGTTTAGAAGGGGGAGGGAGGAGGTGTCATTGGGGTTTCAACTCGAGACCACTTATATGCAAACAAATACTCTTACCACTAAGCTATTGTCACATCCTGGATCGGCTCCGCCGTAGCACAATATTATCCGCTTTGGGCCCCCCTCTCTGGCCCTCACGGTTTTGTTTCTGAGAGCTCACGACCAACTTCCCAGTGGGTCACCCATCCTGGGATTGCTCTGGCCCCCAACTCGCTTAACTTCGGAGTTCCTATGACTCCGAAGCCAATGAGCTCCCAAAATGGCTCGTGCTAGGTGGATGCGGGCATGTACATATAAGGCACATCAACCCCCTCTCCGTTGGTCGATGTGGGATCTTACAGCTATGGATCTGTTGGATTGAGTTTAGCCAATTTAGTCACTCTATTTTGCAAAGTTTGCATTTTGAGTTACTTGGCATGAAAAAAATATTTAAAACGTGTGTTAACCAATTAAAATTAATATAAAAAAATATTATTTAAAAACTTGAGAACTTGTATTAATACTAAAAAACAAACCATTAAAAGATACGATCTACTATTTTGTCCTTTGGATGTGGTGGGGTGCCCTTTTCTTAAGAGCAGTCACCTCGAGTTGTCCTACGGTGTCCTTTTTGTGTAGAAAATAGTAGTGA